CTTTGTAGCCATTTATCCCCTCAATGAGGATACTCAAAAAATACAAGCAGCTGGCTCAATCCACAAAAACCAAAGAGAGCAGGTCTTTTGTAAGTTGAACAGGTCTTAGGTGCTTCCCATTCTGAAGGAAATCAACCCTGAGTGCTCACTGGAAGGACAGATCCTGAAGCGGAGGCTCCAATCCTTTGCCCATCTCATGAGAAGAGAGGACTCCCTGGAAAAGCCCCTGATGTTGGGAAAGTGTGAAGGCAAGAGGAGGAGAAGGGGATGACAGAGGATGAGATGGATGGACAGGGTCATCAAAGCAACCAACATGAATTTGACCCAACTCCGGAATGCAGTGGAAGACAGGAGGGCCTGGCATGCTCTGGTCAATGGGGTCACGAAGAGTCATGACTAAACAACAACAATGACTAATGACTAAACAACAACAACAAAGTGCCTTGTGGATGACATGGGCCTGGGCCTCACCAAGACAGTGTGCAAAATGGTTGAGGCTGTCTTCCAGCCACTGAAAGAAGCTGAAATCCCTTCCTCTTCTTTTGACCCTTGTGAGGTCTATCATTCCTTTCTCTCCTAACCCTTGGGAAGGGAGATCTGGTGCTGGCGTCCACAACAGCTCTTGCAACATTTCATACCTGATGCCCTCCAACCTGAGGCGGAAATGAGTCAGAAGAGGTGCTTGAGCTACATGGAGGAAATCTCTCTCGTTCACTCACTCACGGGCCAACATTCTTAGGCACAGAACTGAAGCTACGGTCCAGCTAGACTTTGGCAGGGTAGAGGAGCAGGCTGTAGACCTTTGTGGTGGACAACGCGTGAGACTGGCTCTCTCCTCCATGGGCAGAGCTCTCTGTAGACCCTGAAAGGAGGAGATCTCAGAAATATAACGTTTCCTAGAAAAGACACACTTCAAAAAGTAGGGCACTGGTGTCCGCTTAGAGATGAACCTGTGGAAACATCGTTCATGAGATGTGCATCAAACGAAGTGTGACAAAAATAGCTCATGCAGAAACGTTCTGAAGCTTAAACGTTTTGTCATGTTTTGGACACTAGAGGGAAGCAAAGAACGGACTGCTAGGTCAAAAAACAGACCCCGCACAGTTGTTTCCTTTTGTGTGAAACAACTGTAGATCTCTTTCTAAAATAATTAGGACTCTTAATCCTACATCTCAGCCTTCCATACATTCTCACTTGAGAGTAAAGGAAGGGAGCTCCTATCCAGCATCTCGTCATTCTCTTCAGATCTATCCCAAAGCTTTTCTGGGAAACTGACAAGATAATTTTGCAAGCCCAGTGTAATTTAATAATAATCATAATAACCTTAGAACTGCAGAGGTGGAAGGAACCCTATGGTTCGTTGGGTAGCCCCTTTCAAGAAGGCACAGCAGGGAATCGAACCCCTAACTTCTGGCTCCACAGCCAGCGACCTGAAGCACTAAGCTACCCCAGCAGTCACAAAGCAGTGCTGAGCGCAACACACAAATCCATAAAATGATGCACATGGGGTTGGCTTGGAGGAGGAGGAGAGAATGAAAGTTTTCCTGGCAGCCAGACGGACGAGATTCCGGGTGGCTGCTTTTCTGGATTTTAGCTGACCCTGCATGCGTTTATGCTGAGGCAAATGTTGGGGCTCAGAAAACTGTCAAAATTGTCTTAATCAGGCAGGGATCTGCTGCAGGAAGAAAGGGCTGGCGCTTTGCCACCCTGCCGAGTGGCACAATTATACCACCATTCTTGACGCGTTGCTGTTTGACAGAATTGTCTTACTTCATAGCTTCAAGGACCAGACAGAAGATTAGTGATGCGCCAGGCATAGATGGATTCACTTACCGTAGGGTTGAGGGGGCTTGGAGCAGATGAGACAGTGTGGCTCAGGAACGGGACGGGGAAATGATAGTTCAAGGCTCAAGCGTTCCCCTTTCTGATCTAAATGGCCACCCCCTTCAGCGTGGCTCCCTCGGCCGTGAAAAAGGGGAAACAAAACAAAAGCAGCAGGAGGTGCCATTACTGAATTCTCAAGAAACTCATCAAACTTAGGGGGGTGGTCTTTGTTTCGATCTGCCCACGTGAGGTGAGAATCAGTGGGTGTTTGTCTTTTGCCCAGAAGCAGAAAACTTTATTTATTGACCACCAAGACTCCATCCCAGGGCAACTGGGTTGGGGTTGAAGATACATCACCACCCACATGGTCTATGGAACAGGGCTTTGCAAAGCTTTGAAGCGCACTGAATCAACAAAATTTGGGAGGGCGGGAAAATATAAAAGCACCAGGAAACAAGTACCCCTGTGTATTTAGAGTAGGGGTGAGCCACTGGGCCCTCCTGGCATTTCATGGGCCTATTTGTGGTGGAAGGATTGCTTTCCGCCTTCTGTGGCAGAGATGGGTGGAGGAGAGAAATAATTCCTTGTGGTCAAGCAGTGGTTCCCAAACTTTTCGAGACATGGCTCCCTTGATTCCATCCAGGGGCCTGTCCGGCGCTGGCTGCTTCTCCTCCTGCCTAGGCAGGTGTCCGGGGACAAGGGCGTGGCGCACCCTGCGATCTGCGCCTAGGCATGAGCTCACTCCGCCGCATGGATTCGATCTTACGACTGTTGGTCTTCTGACCTTGCAGCACACAGAGGCTTCTGCAGTTCAAGCCGCAGCGCCACCACCCTTGCAGCACAGAGGCTTCTGCAGTTCAAGCCACAGCGCCACCATGTCCCTAAGTAAGATTACCATTCCGCAAATCTGTCTGTAGCCTTGCTGAATAGAGAATTCTGACAGCTGTGGTCAAAAAAGTAACTTTTCCTAGTTCTGTTGTAAAATATTCTGCCCGGGGGTTCCTCATTTACATGATGCTGCTATAAATGCCTGCTGAGATGTAAATGTCATTTAGCTAAATGGAATTGACTTCCAAATGAATAGGTAGCAGATTATTATAGCCTTCATCAATTTGAAGCATTAACCAGGCAGTATAATTCATACTAGGGGGACGTGGTGGCGCTGCGGGCTAAACCGCAGAAGCCTGTGCTGCAGGGTCAGAAGACCAAGCAGTCGTAAGATCGAATCCATGCGACGGAGTGAGCTCCTATCACTTTGTCCCAGCTCCTTGCCAACCTAGCAGTTCAAAAGCATGTAAATGCGAGTAGATAAATAGGTACCACCTCAGCGGGAAGGTAAAACGACGTTCCCTAGTCACGCTGGCCACGTGGCAATGGAAACTGACTTCAGACAAGCGCTGGCTCTACGGCTTGAAAATGGGATGAGCACCGCCCCCTAGAGTTGGACACGACTGGACAAAAAATGTCAAGGGGAACCTTTACCTTTACCTTATAATTCATATTCAGGCATTTCCTGTAGAGGGTTTGGAATGGGTAGAAATCTCATGTATCAGCATATATGTTCTTGTGTGGACAGGTCTTAGATCTACCACCACGGCTGCCATGTTGGCTGGCTTTAGCTAGGGCAGGGGTTTCCAACCTTGGGTGCCCAGATGTTCTTGGACTACAACTCCCAGAAATCCTGGCCAGCAGAGGTGGTGGTGAAGGCTTTGGGGAGTTGTCGTACAAGAACATCTGGAGGACCAAGGTTGGGAACCTTGTACAGGGCTTTCTGCTTAGTTCATGGGCCATGAAGATGTGCTAGGATGCTAATAAAAGATAGGTTTAAATTAATGTGGGCTGATTCTCCTAGTTTCTACACAGCCCTGTGGTCCCAATCGCAATCCAGTGTATATGATAGTGTGAAGTCAACTGGAAATGGGCTTTCCCAATTGATTGGCACACAGCTGAACTGGTCTTGTGAATGGTTCACTGCACAACCTAGTAGGACAGGCTGCTCAGAGTTCAAGGCAGCTGTTGGATCCTTTCCTGTCTGTGGCTGAACACAGACAGATGGACTGGGGAAACATTGGACTCAACCCAGTGGCCATTCCCAGCAAGACCAGACCCATTGAATCAATTGATGAGGGGTGATTCAATGAGTCTGTTATGGCTGGGGCTAGTGGAATAGGGGGGAAATGGGGGGCAGAGAAAGGGAGGACCTAAGTTACACCAGATCCAAACCCTTCTCAGTGCAGACTAAGAGTTGCTATGGCAACATAAATGTAGGCCAGAGTTTGGTTAGCACTAAGTAAATGCCTCCAGGGAGAAGACTCCTTGGAAAAGACCCTGATGTTGGGAAGATGTGAAGGCAAGAGGAGAAGGAGATGACAGAGGATGAGATGGATGGACAGTGTCATTGAAGTTCCCAACATGAATTTGACCCAACTCTGGGAGGCAATGGAAGACAGGAGGGCCTGCCATGCTCTGGTCCATGGGGTCACAAAGAGTCGGACACGACTTAACGACTAAACAACAGTAATGTAATTGCCAGTGTCCCAAAGATGGGACAGGCTTGGCTTCAGCATAGCTTCCTCTGGCTTAACTCTCCGCTCAGCCAATTCTCAGCCATTAGGGGATAATTCATCCTATTTGTGAGACTTTTAGTGTGCAGTGCATTGGATACTGCTTTCTAGGGTTTCTCTTTTTAAAGAAAACTCCTTCAACATACTTTTCTGTTATTTTTATGGTCACATTTAGCTGCTGCAGTAGATCTGTGTTGAGAGATTTATTTGAAAAACTACAAGTAGTGGCTCTTACTCCCTTGGAACAGCAGAGGTGTCTCACTGGAAATGTTTAACACTATAATAACGGGGTTATTTCCCCCCATTTCCCATCACTAAGGTGATGATGATTATTTGTGTTTTGGCTTCAATGTGGATTTTGGTCTTTATTTTTATTGACTGATAGTTTTGTAGATTTTTGTAGTCTTTCGAAAGAGTTCCAGGGTGGCTCACACACATCCCACCCAAGAAAAGAAAAGAAAGAAGCTATAAAACTGCAGTAAAATTGTTCACTCCATAAAACAACTGATAATAGTAGTGTTGACAAACCCCATCAGGCCTACAAGGAATGTTTTCAAAGGCTTATTTACAGTGAGACCTCCAGATGCATTTGGATAAATGGTGAAAAGGTTAAATAGTCCTATTAAAATGTTTCCGCAAAATGTAGAAATATAGAGTGGCCAGCCTGACTGGCAGTTGCCAGAGAAGGTAACTAATGGCCATATTAGCTGGGATATTCAGAGACTTGAACTTCAAAAAAAAGAAAATTTCCTAGTTTCTGAAGGAAATTGGAAAATGTGGTCATTACGGTAGGAAGGTCCACGCACTGGCTCCCAACACACATTTATTTATTTGTGGTTTACCTATCTATAGGATTTATATTTCATTCTAGTACTTACAAGGCTCTTAGAGTGGATTACATATCATTGTCAATCTTTTAAAAGACAAGACCGGCCCTTCCACAAGGTTTACAATCCGAAAGATTTGAGTTCAACCATTCTTCAGCCCTGGGGAGAAGATAGCTCCACCAGATTTTGGCTCTTCCTGATGGTCTTTTAATAGCAGTTCCCTCAGACTGAAGAAAAGATGGACAAACACGGATGGAGCCATCTATTCACAAGAGTCGGTGAATATGACAGGCCTGTTTTTTGTCCCTCCTTCATGAGCCCCTGGAAGGACAGATCCTGAAGCTGAAGCTCCAATACTTTGGCCATCTCATGAGAAGAGAAGACTCCCTGGAAAAGACCATGATGTTGGGAAAGTGTGAAGGCAAGAGGAGAAGGGGACGCCAGAGGATGAGATGGTTGGACAGGGTCATCGAAGCGACCAACATGAATCTGACCCAACTCCGGGAGGCAGTGGAAGACAGGAGGGTCTGGCGTGCTCTGGTCCATGGGGTCACGAAGAGTCGGACACAACTAAACGGCTAAACAACAACAACATGTACCAAAATGGCTGCTAAATGACAGGTCTACAGACACGACTAAACGGCTAAACAACAACAACATGTGCCAAAATGGCTGCTAAATGACAGGGCTACAAATAAGTGTGCAAAATTGTGACTACCCAGGGGGAGAGAGGATTTAATGTTCCACTCTGAAACCGGTCTCTAAGCAAAACAGCAACATAGCGTGTATATAGTGTTTTAAAGGACGTTGTGTTCAACTGGGAGTTTTAAAATGCACCTCTAATCTGATTCTCCATTGATGGTCCAAGAAGCGGTCCTCCCAGGGTTTACATTTAGAGCACTTAAGTTTGAAAAACATGGTTATTAAGCTTCAGGTAGGTGGTTTCCTGAAAGAGCTGAAAGCATCCGCCAAGAGCAGGCTAATCCCTTTGCCTCATGCTAATTAATGTCTGCTTGCTATAGCTGTTTAATTTTTGCTGTCCCTTAGTTGTTTCTAGAAGAAGATTGCTTACTGATCACTCTGAAAACTGGAACGCAGGCAATGAGGGGACTTTTTGCTCCCCCAATTTTGGATTATTTCAGAGGGGCAATTCCTGCACCCTTCCCCCTCCTTGACCATCTTCCTCCTGGGATTTCGCAGAAAGACATAAATCCATATTGTTCTGCCTTCTTTTCTTTTTGATTCCCCTGCCCTGCTCTCTCAATCTGATTTTGACAGCTTGGATGGATTAATGATGTTGTTCAGGCCACCGGCATTTTGAATGGGAGATCAAAAATTGTTCCAAAAGCTCATTAGGAGCAAGATCAAATCATTGCCGAGTTAGGTCTGGCTTATAAGCAGACCTAAATTCTGGAACAGTTTGATCTTGCTCAAGAGAAAGGCATTCAAGAGAAAATGGTCAGATCTGCTTTGATCTGGCTTCCTGCCTTGAGCCAGGGGGTTAGACTCAATGGCTTTATAGGCCCCTTCCAACTCAATTATTCTAGGATTCTATGGACGTGTTGGGTTCTAATATCAATGTGTTGCTGTAATTGCTCTTTCTTCCCCCCCCCGACTTCCTATTTTATAGGCCCCTTCGCAAGACGATGTTAATTCATTCCACAAAAATCGCTGTCTTACAAAAACATTGTCTTGTGAAACGAAAAAGCCCATTGAAATGCATTGAAACTGGTTCAATGCGTTCCAATGGGCTGAAAACTCACCGTCCAGCGAAGATCCTCCATAGGGGCGGCCATTTTTGCTGCCTATAAAGTGGGGGATCTATCCTGAAAACACAACGGGGAGCCATTTTGCCCAGCGGATGGCCATTTTAGAACCACCAATCAGCTGTTTCAGAAACATGGTTTAGCGAAAAATAGGTTCCTGAAGCAGGAAACCGATTATCATTAAGCGAATTTTCCCCATAGGAACATTGTTTTGCAATCGCAAAAGCGATCGCAAAAACTTCATTGTCAAGCGGTTTTGTCGTTTAACAAGGCAATCATTAAGCAAGGCACCACTGTATTGAAAGGCAATCGTTAAGCAAGGCACAACTGTATAGGGTTGGAAGCCAAGTGGTGATCCATGGGATTTCCCTTAGGCCTCATGACCTGCTGTGAAGCATCCCTGAGTAGACCTTGGAACATCACATTTTCAGATTATAGCTCCCGGAATCCACCAACCACCATGGTCACTGACCAAGCTAGTTGGGAGATTCTGGGAACAATATATTTTTGTAAGAAGTTACTTTCTCAAGCATTAGTCATAGACCAGCCCAAGCCATGGAGTTCTTGTGGCCA